ACTCTACAATTTTTTTTTTTTATCCTCACCCATGGACACTTTTGCATTTATCTTCAGATAGAGCGGGAGGCGGAGAGGGAGGAAGAGAGAGAGAGAAACATCGACATGAGAGAGACACATAGAGTGGTTGCCACTCATATGACCCCAACCGGGGCGGGGGACAAACTGCAACGGAGGTACGTGCCCTTAGCGGGAACCAAACCTGGGTTTCTCTGGTCCGTGGGCCAACGCTCTAACTGCTGAGCCAAACCGGCCAGAGCAGGACTCTACAATTTCATGTAGAAACCAAAGCCACATGGTCCATGGAGGGATGGGTCGATTATGAGCCACAGGAGCAGAAGTTCCAACATCCACCAGGGGATAAGGGACAGAACTGGACCCAGAACCATGTTGCTAGCTGTGAATGGGGTTGAAACATCTGCACCATCCACCATGAGTCATAGCCAAAAAGGATGCCCCTGTCTGTGTCAAGGATCCAAAATGAGCCCATGTAGATGAGACAGGGACCCAAGTCTGCACCCTAAGGTATGTGATAAGAGAGCTCTGATACGAGCTGTTGATATGGGGTCTGGTTTAAAACCACACACCCTTACAGATAGAGGGCAAAAGAATACATAAAACTGCCTAAAAATAAGTTACAAACAAAAATTAGAGAATCCATGAGTACATCCAATGATCAGACTCGCAAAATGGAAGAATTCATACCTAAAGAAACAAAGATGCTAGAGCAATCAGAGAAGGACTTTATGATAAGTATTTTTTAAATCCTCAAAGGGACAGAGGAGGGATTTACATCCACAAGGGAAGAAGAGTTTTTAATAAAACAAAAAAAGCAGGAAAGTATGAAAAAGACTAGTTATTTATCTAGGAAATAAACCATCGTGAAAATTAAAAACTTAACAGATAGGCAAAACAATAGACCAGACACAAATAAAAAGAGCTGGTTAACTGCAGTATAGAATTGAGGAAAGCCTCCCAAACATAGCACAGAGAAATAGAGAACTTGGGGGAGGGGTTTAAGATACACGGAGGATTGATGGAGAACCTACATGTGAAGAGAATAGAAATAATGTTGGAGAGGAACCATCTGACAGATAATGGCTGGGATTTTTTCCGGAATTAAAGAAAAAAACTTGATCTTCTGACAAAGAAAGCCCATAGAGTTCAAAGTACAGTAAACATAACCATATGGACGGAATAACCCTGAATTTATAACTATAAATAGAGTTTGAAAGAAAATAAACCCAAGTGTCAACAGTAGTTGCTCCTGATAAGATTCAGAGGGAGATTTTCATTTTCTTCTTTAAACTTTAATGGACTTTCTAGATACTCTACAATAAAAAGACGTTTTTATAAACTGTCTTTGGAGGAGTATTTGTTATTTCAAATACACATATACACATAAACACACTTTAAAAGAAAATCGGTCCTCAAGGAACTTACACTCTAGTAGAGGAGATGGTATGATAGAAGTAACATCTAAAACAAAACCCATGCATGAACCCACATGGACAGGTGGAGTTAACGTCTATGCCTTGGAGCAGTTAGAAATAGCGGCACAGGGAAGGGGGAGGTGTGGACAATGAGCAGAAACGTAAAGGTCTAGTGCATATGCTGGATTTACTAGGAGCCATTACTGCAACAGCACGTATTCCTTTCGGACGGAATCAAAAGGGCCAAACCAAAATGTGGTTAGAATTTATCTACACCAAGCATTATTCCCACCTCTAACTTAATTATATCTCAAGACCACCCACTGATAGAAGCAAAAAGTAACATCCTCACTGCAAATTCAATTAACACCACAAAAATCTGTCACTTGACACATTTCAATTATTATGAAATTTTGTTCTTTTTTCATGGGCCAAGGAGACTGAGGGAAAGGTAAAAATGGTAGGGAGGGGTATTCAATTTAACGGATAAACAAACTAAGTACTGTTATTATCCACAGGGGCACTATCATGTTACCAATTTAGAAGCGAAAATACAGTTATGTTCTGGGCTTTACCAAGTGAACATCATCATTAGGGGGAAATAGGCCTTGTCAGTTTGGGGAGATTCAGACTTTGGGGCCATAACACCACTGGCACACCCAACCAAGCAAGGTGGGGTTTCAGGCAACGTCCAGTGACTGCTTCATCGGAGCCCAACAAAATGCATTCAGCATTCAGCTCCAAAAGAAACAGGTGGCAAAGGCACTAGCCAACTTGTGTTACTAATGGAAAGAAGGGCTGTTCATATCCCATTCATTTTTGTTTTTTAACACATCTAGGTTTTCCAAAATACCACTCTTTAACCCACCCCTTCTCAACATCACCTCCACATCCCACACATTGGACCCAACATATACCCTAAGATTGTCTCCACTGATGTATTTGATTCCCTGACATCAAGACCAACTCAGAAAACCCCAACAGTGAGGAATATCCAGTTTCATCTCCCGTGTGCCATTTTCTGATTCCCTTTTCTCCTTTACTCTTTTTGTTTTTAATCCTCACTTGAGGATGAGTTTTTTTTATTGATTTTTAGACAGAGAGGAAGGGTGGGAGAGAGACAGAGAGAAACATCAATGTGAGAAAAAAACATCAGTCGGTTGCCTCCCCCACACGCCACCACTGGGATTGAACCTGCAACCTAGGCATGTGCCCTGCCTGAGAATCAAACCTGCAACCTTTTAGTATATGGGAAGATGCTCCAACCAACTGAGCCAGCCGGCCAGGGCATCCCTTTTCTTCTTTACTATTAAGTGAGGTCACACTCTTGTCCAATCCCCAGAAGGCAATTTTATTCCATAGGAGAGGAGGATGCTTCCTCCCATAGTCCTTGGACCTCTCAAAACTCCCTTTCTGATGCCCTGTTCAAGAGAGGAGCAACTGCTGCTGTGGTAAGTTAGGGCCTGGCATTCACAGGGGAGGGTCACTGCATATCAAGAGGGTGCTCAGCTATGAGCCCATTCTCTGTTCCTGCCGCCCTGCCTGCAGTCGGATGTATGAGTCAGGAGAAAGCCTGAACCACACACCTGCCAGCTCGGACACCTCAGCCTGAGCCTCAAGCCACCTTCTCCAGTTCAGCTTTTCCCAGATTTCTCCACTGCTTGTGCTGAACCCTAGTCAATCCAGAAATTTTACTTTCAATACGGCTACTGTTTTCTGTGTATTACTCCTTCGGTCAAAACTTCAGAAGGGAAGAGGGACTGGTGGTGATATTTAGATCCCAAAATCACACTCCGAATCCCTGCTGGAAACTGCTGTCCTCCCCCTTCCTAATGTCTTCATCAGAGGCTGATCACTCAGCTGGTTTCTCGATGCACCGCTCTCTAGGCACCTTTTCATGACCCAGTACTTTCCATAAAATAAAATTCTCGGACCCTCCTGAAGATGAGATGACAAAGATAGAGAACAGGCTTCACTTTGGTAGGATGTGAGATCACAGCTTGAGACCAAAAAAAAAAAAAAAGAGAGAGATGCAGTTCCATCACCCACTGTGTGGTCTTGGCCAAGTCTAACTACTTTATGCTTCAGTCACTTTACCTGAAAGTTACAAAATGCTCTTGCGGACTCTCAGCCCCCTCCAGTTCTGAAGTGGCCCATACATACATTGGTGGCAGGGCATATCTACTTCCTACTTTTTTCATCCCAGAAAAGAACCCCAAAGCTGAGAAGTGTCTGGGAAATGCTCACCCGCACATAGGAATTTTGCTAGCCTGCAAACCATTGAAAATGAATGTTTAATAAGATACTGCATCAGTTATGTACTTGGGCTGAATGTACTGCAGCCCAGGAGACCTGAAAGAATTAATACAGTTCCCAAAGGAGCCGGTGGGAATTGCTGAGGCAGAGACAGAATCTGATTTGATGAATACAGAACTGCTTTGAGCATCAGAAGGAAAGCGCTATGACAAATCTGCTCGCTCTGTTAGGATGTCTCCGGCTACCTAAGGAACACGCTTCAAGAAGGTCTCAGGACTGGAGACCATGGCGCACAAGTAAACTTACCCTGTCCTCCCCTTTCCGGCCCCCAATCCCTTGCTGGGGCTTAGACAGAGGTACAGGGCACCCACAATTCTAATTCTTCCTTTTTGTCTCACTCCCCTCTTTGCTTCTTCCTTTTGTCCTTCTGGCTGTTTCTGTCCTTCCACTTCTGCACAGTTCTCAAACCAGGCCCTCATAACATCTCACTCATATCTTTAAGTCTCTCTTCCCTCTTCTCCCAACCAACACTCCCATCTGGTCCACAGAAAGATCCTCCTTCTCATTCTAAGCCAAGAAATGTGGACACACCTTCCTTCATTTTGACACTCTCAGACTTCAGTGTCAAAACCCATCCTTGCAGGCCAACCCCTCCGTCAGAGGCCGGGGAAACCCTGCTAGCTCCACCCAGGACAAGCAGGGAAGGGTCGGCCTCCACGCTCAGGGTCTGCAGTCATTCTCTCCTCTCACACCCACTCCCTTAGAGGAACACTCTCATGCGGACTTTAGCCCAGGGCTTCTCAAATTTCCCACCCCTCTTGTTGCATTTCTCTACTCTTTTGTCTTTTACCTAAAAACTTTGCATTTTGTTCCACAACACACCCACGTTGATTTTTGAAACAGTTTTAGTCACCACAAGAGGGGGAAAAAAAAAAAGAGCATTTTCCACAAAACAACCTGGCAAAATTGATATAGGAATACAAGCCCATATTCCTAGGTGGCCCCAGGCTTGCATCTGTACACTACTTAGAAATCTCCAATCATCCCACCACACTATCCTACTTCTGAGTTTTCCGAGTTCTTCCTGGCACACCCAGAGCGCCTCTGAGTACCCCACTTTCAGACCCAAGACAAAAAAGTATTTCCATTCATTTCTGGTTTGGAGAGGTAGGACCTGGTTCTCACCAGGGTCAGTGACCACGACCCCCTTTCTCAGCAAGGCAGATACCAGGGACTCCCGAAGACCTTTGGTGGCTGTCCTACGACTGGCATATTCCGGAGTCCTGGCAGCCCATCACCTCCCGGCCTTACCTTGTCAGCCATGATCATAGATGCGCCCCCGTGGATGCCCAAGATGGGGATGAAAGTCTGTGAGGAGATAAAATCCAGCATCTGGGCCACGGCCTCCTGGTCGGTGTCGTCCCCAAACACGAGGCCGTGGATGCGCGCCCCGGACATGAGGTCGCACACATGTGTGATGAGGCTCTTGGGGTCGGTGCGATTCATCAGTAGTGCTACCACGTTCACGTCCAGGGGCAGCCCAGCCGCCTGCTCCGGGCCCCACAGGGTTCGCAGTTCACGCTCCGTCACGTCGTGGCTGTGACCCAGCAGCACCGCGATGTTCAGCGCCGGGGTACCCTTCTCCGCCGCCGCACCCTGCGCCGGACCGCGGCAGACCAGAAGCGCCGGCAGCACCAGCAGGGTCCAATAGCCCAGTCTGCCCATAGTCGCCACTTATGGTCTCTGCAAGGTGGAGAGGGAGAGTCGGCCGCGGTGAGCGAGGGTTCCAGACGAAAGAAATTGTTGACCCTGCCCCTTGCTCTACCAGCCAGGTAGAGAGCCCACCCGCAGCGCAAGCTGCCAGAGTCACCTACTTCATTCTCTATCCCCGACGCCATCCACGTCCCTAGACCCATCTCCAACTCGATGCAACTTCAATCAGAGCTTATTCTCCATCCCCGGCGGTAAATCCATCTTCGCCTCTACCCTTCTGCTCATCCCACTGTCTCCAGCCTCTTCTCCATGCCCGACTCTGCCCACATCTCCCACCGCATCCACCAAGTCAGCTGCAGACCCCCGCCCCTGAGCGTAGGTGCGCAGAGCAAACCTTCCACCCACTCCTCTCCCACGCCGGCTAGAGCGGACCAAGTTACGGACCCCGCCCCCTGCTCATAAGGAGCGAACTACAGACCAGCCTCGGAGTGCGGAGGCGGCACAGCGACAAGGCAATCCTGCTCCAGTACAGAGGCGGGTTGATTGACCCCGCCCCCTGCGAACGCGTGGGATGCTGCACAGACCTGGCTCTCCGCCGCACCCGCTGCAGACCCCGCTCCTCTCCTGCAGGGCACACCCCAAGCGCATGGGAGTGAGAACGCTCTCTCGTGCGCTCCAGGCTGCGGGGCGCCTGAGGGAACTTAGGGCCCGCCCCTCCTAGCACCAAGGGGCCCTGAAGAAAGTGGCCCCAGGACCCGGCCCCTACAAGCGCGCGCTCACACACGCGCGCTCACACACACATCCTCTTTCACGCGCGCCGTGTGCAATGCAGAATTTCGGAGAGGAGGCTCGTCCTGCCAAGGACTTGCGCATGGGAGCTGGCAAAAAACGTGCGTGGGGTTAAAGGTAGGCTCCCAAACAGCTCTCCGACCCACGTGAACTGTACAGCCCTTCCCCAGACTTTCCACTCTAGGTCCTGTTACCAAGTCTTAGGTGCACGTGGGCAGTGGGGCTCTACAAGCTCACAGGCATGAGCGCATTTCTGCGCACATCCGCAGGCCGCTGTAGTGGTGCCCACGGCCATCCGGAGTCCGCCCATGGGCTCAGGCGGTATACAAATATGCACCGCGCCAGGTGCACAGCCGCGCGTGCCTGCAAACACCAGCACAGTCGTGCACGCGTGCACAGGCGCGCGCCCCTCGGGCCGGGCGCTGCCAGAACCAGGGGAAGTTGGGGCGAACTCGCACCGACCTCAGCGCTCTACCAGAGAACACTGCGGTGTCGCAGCGCCCCCTGGTGCTCTTCCCTCGCCTAGCTACCGATGCTCCCTCTCCCGCTTTCTCTCTCCCTCTCTCCCTAGATCTTTCTCCCGCTCTGGCTCCGGTCGTCTTCCTTCTACCCATCCCGCCAAGCCCAGGTCTCCCGCTGGGACGTACCTGTAGCCGGAGAAGGTCGAGGATGCAGTGGGGCGCGCTGCGCGCACGAGCATCTCGGCCGCCTCAGCAGCCACCGGGTTTAGCGGGTTCCCGCATGCTGCGGCCCCCGCGCGCTCCCCTGGCTGTCCCGCGCTGTCCGCATCGCCCCCACGGGGGGCGGCTATCCCAGCCGGAGGCTCTGCAGCAGGGCTCTATGGGGACGGTGAAGAAACGGAGAGGCAGGGTCAGCCCACGGGTCGGGGGAGCGGGGCTGGTGGGGGACAGGGGGCGGTCAGGCCGCAATCTGCAATGTTCACAGCCCCTCTGTGCACACAAGGGGTTCGACCGGAGAGGGAAAGCTGAAGCTCCGTGACCGAGACGCCCCCAGACCGGTCCTATATGGAGAGCTCAGCTCCAGAGAGCACAGGAGAACCGGAGCCCCAGTTTGTCCACCCACGAGAAGCTAACTGGGCACCTCCACCCTCACCCCCTACCACCTCCCCAGCGCCGGCTGCTGGGAGTTGTACGGCCAGGAGCTGCTGAACGAGGGGGATAGGGAGAGAAAGAAAAGAAAAGGGAATGGGGGGGGGGGGGTGAGGGGGGTATAGCTGAGTTTCTGATGAGCCGGCAGGAGGAGAGGGGGAGGGAAAAGGACTCGTGCTCCCGCGGTCCCAGATCCCCGAGGGAGGTGCGATCATTCCCATACAACGACTCTCGCGGTCTGCCGCCCCCTCCTACCCAGGCCTTCCGCCGTCCTCTTCCCAAAGGGGCCCCGCGTCCCGCGCCAACACTCACCGCAGCCTCTCTCCACATAGTTCTCAGCAGTGGCCGCTCCTGGTCATCTCCAGGGCTGATGGTTGCAGCCGCGACTCTCAGTGCTCACCCGGCCCCATGCTCAGGCTCAGCCTTCGGAGCCTCACTCAAAGAGCCAGAGCTTTCTGCCCCACTCCCGACAGCAGCTGCCCTGTCCTCTGAGCGCGCCCGAGAGACCTCTCCGCAGCCCAGGCTCGGGGCCGGTGTGTGTGAGGGCGAGTGTGTGTGAGAGAGAGTGTGGGAGCGCGCGCGCGCTTGTAGCCGGGGATCCCCGCGGTCCCCGGCCGAAAGAGGCGCGGGCGGGGGGAGGCAGCTCCCTCCAGGCCCTTCGCTGCGAGGCCAGCTCCGGGCCGCGCGTTCAGCTCCCCACTTCGCGGCGGGAGTCCCGAGAGCGTCTGACCACCCTGGTTCACAGCACGGGGAAAGCCGGGCTCCCAGAACGTGCTTCTGCTGCGTCGCCTCGGAAGAAGAGGAGGAGGAAGGCAGGGGCGCCTCCACGCCAACTTAGGGACTTGTTCCCAGTCGGTGAGACGCTGCAGCCCCCGCGCAAGCCAGAGAGGCTTGGAGCTTCGGCAGGCGAAGGCGTCTCCCGCCCTCAGCCGTTTTCCCCGGAGGCGGGCCGAGACAGACCCTGCAGTCCCTTGGCGGCGGCGCCGAGCGCTGCCACCCGCTCCCAGAGCGCACGGTGGAGACAAGGCCAGGATAGGTGGCTGGCCGGCCGCGGGGGTGCCTGCGGCGGCGCGTGCCGCTATCCGTGGTGCTGAAATCACGCACTCCGCCCGCTCAGGGGCGTCTGGTGCAGCTGAAGGATCAATTATTCAGAGCTCCGCTACAGCTTCCTCCTCCCCCAGTGCCTTGCGCTGAGTACAGCAATCCCCCCTCCACACACAAACGTGCGCGCACACATACACACACACACACACACACACACACACACACACACACACACACGGAATATATTCCAGTGCTTCTCCCCATTTTCTTTGCCACCCCCGTAAGGGAACCGACTCCTCAGAGTCAGAATCCTAAAAGTAAAAACAGCTTTACATTTTCCACTTGCTTCCTTCTTGTTTTCTAAGTTATGCCAAATGGAAGTCGCCCTGAGGCCCCTAGTTCTAAGCTCCCAGCAGAAGCGAGCCAGAGAGCATGCGACTGCCTCAGTGTGGGGGGCCTGGCTATCGTGACTTCTGGCGACTGGGCACGAAAAGCATTGTCAACCAACGACCGACCACTGCCCTTTTTACACTCTACTGAATCTCTCCCTCCAAAGCCCATTTCTGCTTTTTCCCCTTCATGCCCTGGAAGGAAAGAGGCCTTAAATTGTAAGAGGTTGTACAGTCACTGTTCCAACCCTGCATCCTCCACTTATCAGTCTGATATCACCTTTGAGCTGGTAATTTGTCTTCCCCTTTTTATTGCTAATCTGGGAAATAGGAAGGGCAATAAAAAAAGATCTACTTCTCAGGGATATTTTGAAAAGAAAATGGCATAGTCTTGGTAAAGAAGCCAACAAGTTCTAGCACATAGTAGGTGCTCAATAAATATGAGGTCTCTTCAAGGTTACCTAGCAGGGAAAGGGCTCCTTCCAAGAATGCAAATGTAGCTATTGAAATTGAGACAAAAAGGGGCACAGTTTCTGGACACCTGTGGGTTTATTATAAAGCTGGTTGTTATATGTTGAGTTCTCTAGAGTTTTATTATCTAAAAGACAGAGAAAGGATGAGAGAATTATGGAAGGTAAGTGAAAGTGAAGGGTTGTGTGATACAGGGCAGAGAATAGGGAAGTGCTCTCTTTCTTGAGACTGTAATTGGGTTGAGCTGGGTTAGGCCCTTTCCTGGTGTAGAGGTGATCATTTCTTGGACCTTGGAACAGGTACAGGATGCTAATTTGGGGACTCACAGGAAAGTTAGGCTATTTTATTTAAATGAAGTATAAATTATATACAATAAAGTGTACTTCTCTTAAGAATTCAGTTCAAGGGTTGTTTGTTTTAATCCTCACCTGAGGATATTTTTCCATTGATTTTCTAGATAGAGTGGAAGGAAGGGAAAGAAAGAGAAATGTCTCTGTGAAAGTGAAACACCAATCAGCTGCCTCCTTGTACGCATCCCACCAGGGATCAAGCCCACAACCTGGACATATGCCCTAACCAGGAATCCACTGGCAACCTTTTGGTGCATGGGACAATGCCCAAACAATGAGCCACACAGTCAGAGCACAATTCAAGTTTTGAAATTGTTTGCATCTGTCATCATCCACAACAATATATAAATATTTTCATCACCCCCAGAAAGTACACGTGTGTCCCTTCATAATTAATCCCACTTCCCTCAATTAGAAAGCATAATTTTGATTTCTAATACCCTGTACTAGCTTTGCTCATTTTCAAACTTCATATAAATAAAATTCTACATTTTATATTTTTTTTGTTGACTAGCTTTTTTCACTTAACTTAATGTCTGGGAGATTCATATATGTTGCTGCAAATAACAACTTTTTTGTTTTTGTTGCTGAGTAGCTTTCAATTGTATGAATAATTCACACTTTGTGTTTCCATATCTGTAAAGCTTTAAAATACAGATGCCTGCACCTACTTTAGATCTTCTCCATCAAAATCTCCAGTGGGGCCAAGTGTGTTTATTTGTTTTAATTTTATAGACCATTCTAATGATGCCCTGGTTAGTAGTCACTGCATATTCATTCTTGTATATCAGTGCTGACCCTGAAATAGTCTTTAATGAAAACTACTGGTATGAAGAGTTTAAAGTTATTTGTGACTAGATTTGTGAAAGGGTAAATCAAACAGATGTGGCCTTTTTTGAATAAAAAAAAGAAGGAACAGTCTGCCTCTGAAGACAGACACAAGCAGCTGGAGTTTCTCTAGGCTAGACGTCTCCCCAGTGTGGAGAACCATTTAAGGTTGGGCACCTAGAACTCCACCACACATGTGGAGACTCATGTATGTTATGACAACTTACTCCGTGCTGTGCTACAATACTAAACCCACCACACAGCTTAGGATGCTGAGCAGGCCTTTGCTACTCAAGACCTTCAGACAGAAAATCTTCACAGCAGCTATGCTGAGAAGACTGTATTAAAAAAGAAAAAAAAAAAAAGGCCCTTAGTCAACAGTGTACTGCAATTTTTGCCAGTTGGTTTTATTGCCAATCACATCATTAAAGTAACTGAAATAACCTAGTCTGCTTTTAAGGAACAAATTGTTTCAGTTGTTTTCAAATCAATTGATATATCTTCAAATGCTCTACTAAAGAAAGGACCCCCATGGCTGCCCCCATGCTTTGAGCCACTTAAACACTGTGGTGAAAAACCAACCAGCATATCATTTTCACAGGAGAAAACTAAAATGAGCCACTCATTGATTATGTTTCTCTTTATATATTTATTCTCAAAGGAAATTAGTAAAGAATCATAGTATTTTGAAGCTGAAAGACCTTTAGAGACTATCCTGTATGGTATATTTTCTGTTTTCAATAACTTTGGGGAACTCTGCCTATCCAAATCACTTTAAGGTGAATTCTTATTTTAAGGATCTGAGAAGTCCTGCAGTTAAAAAAAAAATTTTTATTAATCTAGCAATATTCCAAAAGAAATGCTTTATGGAAACCTATTTTACTCTACATAGTAGCTGCGATCACCATACGAAGCTATTGTTTCTTTTAATGCTTTTTGAGAATTTCTGACCTGGCCCTTTATTTTGCATATAGGGGACAGAAGACTCAAGTGGGACTAACCAACTTTAGTACTATGAGACAAGATGCTAAAGGCAAAATTTGAAGCAGTATCCAGAGTTTTTGCTTTAACTGTCTGGTGTGTAAAATAAAGTGTGAGTATTTGCATTCTACAAGGTTATTGGGATTCCAAAGCAGTATGATAGAATCCTGAGAGAAGGACAGAAGAAGAAAGTAATTTGGAATCACTGAGTAAGCTGAACGTCAGACTAGCCACCGCCTTTAGGAATTGTTTATCAGTGGTAATCTACCTTCACCGTCCCTCCAAATTTCAACCTGTGGATTCCAACTCTTGCGCTAACCATGGTCCTAGCTTTCTTGACCTTGTCTTTTGTGTAGCGGCAGGTAAACAGAATTGACCTGTCCTGTGCCAAGGCAGATATCACTAACCAATCCTTGAATTATTTCTCTCAAAGATAGAACTTTACAAGCTTGTTCAGTTTTAGATATTCTGGGTAACCTGATCCATTGATTAGAGTTGGTTCTAATTTACCATGCCTGATTTAACAAGTTCTCATAGATTCCTGGTTTTAGCACAGCCTGACTCTGATTGCCTATATTTCCTTCACTTTCTCTCAGATCCTAATTTCTATGTAACCTGATGATCTTAAGGACTTTTTCCTCCTTGGACCTCAGTTACCCCATGTGTAAAGGAAAGGTTTAGACTGGCCATGATGACCTCAAAGCTGCCCTCCACGTTTGGCATTATATGATTCTCTGACTTTCTTGAAGGTCTTGACCCTCAGATCAACAAAGACACTAGCTATTCCTTTCATAATAACTTATTCAAAAGACGATGCTTCCCTTCCTGCCCTCATGACCCATTCAATAGTTCTAATCATCCCTGGACACATAGATCAGTTGGTTAGAACATCATCCAGATGCACCAAGGTTGTGGGTTTGATCCCTGCTTAGGGTACATACAACAATCAACCAATGGATGCATAAATAAGTGGAACAACAAATCTCTCCCCCGCCCCCTTCCTCTATCTCTCAAGTCAATAAAAAATAAAATAAATAATTCTAATCAAAGGGCTAGGTTTTTTTCCAAACAAATCCACTGCTAGTCTTGAAAACTATAATGAAGTTAGCCAAAAAGATTTTGTTTCTCATTGGTCTTTACCTAATGCAACCCAGTTTCCTCCCTTATACTAGACAGGAACCTAGGGGGCATCAAAGCAGACCAAAGAGAAACGAAGAGTGAACTGGGAGTCAGGGGTCTACATTCTACTACTCTGGGGAAAGTCACTGACTCTCCAGGCCTCAGTTTCTTTATTAATAAAATCATCCTGCCTCCTCCAGCACTGTGGTGAAAGTTGTATAAGTTCTTAGTGTGGGTCCCTCCAAGAACAGTAAGGGTTCTGCACCCAAATCCAATATACGTGTGTGTTGGGGGGGGGGGTCCCACACCAACAAGCAATTCTTGGACACCAGCTGGGAATCCTAAGAGTCAACTCAATTCTGACACTATTTACCTGGAGA